CGATTAAGCGTACGATTCATCTAGCTGTTTAAAAAAAGGAATTGCTGGATACAAAAAGCGATGTAATGAGTTTTATAAAAGCAAACAAAGCTCATGCAGAAATTCAAAGTCTGTACCTATCTACTATCCGTTCCAAAATATAAGAGCGTCGGTTGCTTTTTGAATAACTTTTGATAGGTAATAGATAGAAAGGTGCGGTTTCAGCTTTAGAAACTAGAGACCTGAGACCATGTTTCTATAAGCGGAAGCGAGTTTCGGAAAAAATTATGGCAGCATAATAAATGATCGCTGTCATGCTACACTTTCTGACTGTCTTTTTATGACAATCTGGAACTCCGTTTAACATCCAAAAATGGTCGAAATGTTTTAAGGATTTCCAAGTGTTTTTTCATTCTTTTGTCTGCTTGGGCATTATCAATTTTGTGAGTTTTTTCAATATTTCAAGAAAATAATGTACTCTAATATTCTCTTTTTGCTATGATATTCGATCTCTCTGACAGGTCTCATTCAGATCTATCGACTGACATACAGCAGGAAGTGTAGAGATGTTTTTTAGACAGTGATAACTGTTATAGTATGACATCAATATAAATACTACTAGGAATTTTATATGCAGATCTACATTACTACCACTATGGGTCTCCTACGAGACTATCAAAGTTTTCGAGAGATATCCATATCAACTCATGTTTTTATACTAAACATGACTCTGAGACGAAATTTCAATTTTGATATTGGATAGTCTAGTCAAAATCAGAGAAAGATTTTCAAAAACGTATAAAAATAATTTCTATTTTGATACAAAAGTGTGTAGTGATTACATTTGTTGTGCAAACTTTCTGAACCACGCTGTGTTTTTTCTACCTCATGAGAGGTGTCACATATCCAGGAAATTGGGGATGCTAGAGATACAGAGGGAGATGCGGGATCTACAGAAAGATTCTTCAGATCAAAACTGAAAAAACATTTCAAAAGATGACGGGAGATGCCGTATCTTCTAGAAAGATATGATGAGAGATTCCAGGTATAAAGGGTGTATACTAAGTTTTGATCCCTTCAAGAGATTTTTTTTCTGTATATGTTTCTTTAGTGAGAAGGCTTATATTAACAGTGTACAAAGTAGGGGTGTATATGTGTTTTGTGTCAAATTATGGGCTTTCTAACTCTTGTTATTCCAAGAATACAGCTAAATTAAAATTTCGTAGAAAATTTTGAATTATTATTGGACCATACTTGATGTTTTGTTAGTGGCGTCAAAAGAAAGTGTAAGGAATGGAGTAAGTTTGACAAATCGAACTTCTCCAAGAAGAACGAAGGGAAACTGCGTAATAATGTTCATGTCTCTGTTCGTAGCCTTGATTTCCTACATGATGCAATTGATTCAGTATTTTTTTATCATTTGTTTACATTTTGTCATAGTAAATTGTTTTCGTTGTTTTGCTAGTGTTTTTCTAATTCGACTTCCTTTTGAATTAGTTTATAGGTTGGAAAGAAGAAAAAACCAAGAGTAGAACAAGTGGAAAGGGAAGCCGAATTAGAAAAACACTAGCAAAACAACGAAAACAATTTACTATGACAAAATGTAAACAAATGATAAAAAAATACTGAATCAATTGCATCATGTAGGAAATCAAGGCCAAGAACAGAGACATGAACATTATTACGCAGTTTCCCTTTGTTCTTTCTTGGAGAAGTTCGATTTGTCAACTCCATTCCTTACACTTTCTTTTGACGCCACTAACAAAACATCAAATATAAATAATTCAAAATTTTCTACGAAATTTTAACTTGGCTGCATTCTCGGAATAACAAGAGTTAGAAAGCCCATAATTTGACACAAAACACGTATACACCCCTACTCTGTACACTGTTAATATAAGCCTTTTCACTAAAGAAACATATAGAGAAAAAAAATCTCTTGAGGGGATCAAAACTTAGCATATACCCTTTATATAATAGATGAATAGTGTCTGAAGTTTCCTTTTGTATATCCTACATCTCCCTCTGCATTTCTGGCATCTCTGATTTCCTGGATATGTGACTCTGCTAGGAGTGAGCATCACATACCGAGTGTGGCAGTAAAGCTAGTTCTCCGGTTTGTCATTGTGATTACAATAAAATAAATGCTGCAGCAGTAACGAAACATCTCATCCACAAAAATCGTCACATTCAATTTCTGTCCTTCTACAGATAATTACTTGGTCCGTTATATTTATTTTCCAACACGCTAACCCTTACTAATTTGAAAAATCTACAAGTCCGTCACTTTTGGTAAATTAATTGTAGTGAAAACTGTCTCTTAACTCTGTTGCACTGCAAACAGCGGAGCAGGCAAACAAACTGAGAAACATTTTATCTCTGGTGATCCTCTACTGTAGTTGAAGGAATGAATCGCAACTTAAATATCTTCACTTTTAGATACTGTTTATTGTTCTTCTTTTTCACAAATGATGTTCCTTAACACGTTGTCGATCATCATCGCTCTGGTGTCTTGGAACGATGTCATTGCTTCAGAATGGTGGAATGGCTGGAGTCCACATGATAATAACGATCGTTATCAAAGAGAACCACTCCCTATAACTCCAACAGCCACAAAAACTGAATTCAAACAGCTATGGTACACCAAACTAAACGGTCCAGTGCAGATGTCCCCAACTGTTTATGAGCATTATGTCTATGTAGCGACCTGGACCGGGACGTTTTATTGCCTTCAGGCAAACAATGGCATCATATTGTGGCAGAGAAATCTCTCAAATTTTATTAACAATGATCGTGTTTATGTTTCACGTACAAGTCCACTGGTTTACAACAATATGATTATCTTGGGCCTAACGGATGTTAGCATAACATTATATAAACCCGGAAACGGCTCCCATGTTATAGCATTTGATCGTTTCACTGGAGTACTTCTATGGCAAAACAGAGTTTCTTCACATCCAACATCTAGATTAACAAGCGCTCCTCAACTAGCGAATAATATGCTTTTTATTGGCATATCATCGATTGAAGAAGGCTTGGCAAGTGATCCAAAATATCCCTGTTGCACATTTCAAGGGTCGGTGATTGCACTGAACGCGAGTACGGGCACGTTTCTTTGGGAAACAAAAATGATGCCAGATAATAATGGAACTACAACTGGATATGCAGGTAAATTAACCCCCTCTCAAATGTCAATTTTTGCCAAAATCGTCGAAATTGAGATAAATGTATGGGAAGATAGCCTGTCTTCTGCTCTTTCAGAAACGCTATTGCTTTTTTCTTAGGCACTTCGTTTTTGGTCAAAATTTTCGATGTTTTTCGTTGACCTCTACTTGAAAAATATCTTACTTTAAAAAAAACGAAAAATGTTTTTCGTTTTTTCTCAGTTTATGCTTTCTTTACTGTGCAACACGTTTTCTCTGTCTAGGCTTATTCAATATATTTATTTATTTTTTGTTTGAAAGAGCATGTCAAGCTGCAGGACACCACAGAGTCATTTTTTTAATTAAGCTTTATTTTTTATTATATATACAGATAATTATGTAACTGGACACCCACTTTTGGCGCCTATTTTGAGTCATTGAACTTGTGAGCCCGTTTCTTCGCTAAAAAAGCAAAATTTGAAAAAGTTACTCTGTGGTGCCCGCATTCTGACATGCTCTTTCTAATAAAACAAAAATAAACATGTAGCATGAGCCTGGATTGAGAAATCCTTGTCACAAAATGAGTTACATTTGACCCTTGTTTGGTTCATATCTCTGTCAAACGTCGTGGAATCGAGCTGGAAATTTTGCAACAGCATCCTCACTTCAGCCCCAACATATGCTTCAAATTTCAGCCCATTTGAACGTAATTGAACTGAGATCGATTTTTGAGCGGGGCTTTAAAAGGAAAAATGGAGTTGCTTTTTGTCACACGCTAACTTATGTGTCAAAGTAAAGTCAAATTCATATTTCTAATTTCATGTCCTGCAACCACAAATAATAGAAAAAGATCCTCTGTATTTGAGAATAGATCTCGTACGCTGTATAAAAACCGGTGCAGAATAATAAACCCTCATTTTCGGTTACCCACATAATCACATATTTTTTTAGGGTTTATTCGTGTTATAAACCCTTCATATACTCTGTTAGTTCATAAACCTTACGAAGAGTATTTTATACAATGCACTTTCATGTTTAAGATATATGAGTAGTAAAAGGTTGATTAACGTCATAAACTCTTAGAGAACGGGTTTATTAATATACGCATCGAAGCAAACTATATAACACGGTTCTTCGAAGAGTTTATGACGTTAATCGACCATTAAAGGGTATATTGCTACGCACTTATACATTCTATACGGTTTATGGAAGTGCATTGTATAAAATACTCTTCGTGAAGTTTATCAAGTAAAAGGGTATATGGATGAGTTTATAAGACGAATAAATCCTAAAACAATATGTGATTATGTGCATAAACGAAATTGAGGATTTATTCTTCTACGCCAATTTTTTACAGCGTGTAGGTTCAGAATCTGACAACTGCAAGTTTCGGGGCCTTTTCATTACAAATATATTTGAAAAACGTTCAAGTTTTTTATGTTTTTGAAACATATAGTATCATTCTTTTTATCGATTTCTAAGTTAATCTATTTAGGCGCCTCAATTTGGGGTAGTCAGTTTCCAGTTGATTACAAACGCAATCAAATCTATGTTACAACTGGCAATTTCTATACACTACCAGCTTTAATTGAAAAATGTGTGACTGAGACTAGCAATTTGACTCTCTATTCTGATCCATGTGATCAACCGGGTGCTTACGGTCAAGCTGTTGTAGCATTAGATATGACCACGGGAATTGTTCGTTGGGGTCGAAATCTTGGATTTATGAATGCATTCAATAAAGCTTGTAGTTCCGTCTCGAATGTCAATTATCCATGTCCACCTAATCCTGGAAATGATAGTGACTTTGGACAAGCTCCGATATTGAAATTAAACTTGAGGTATAAATTGGGCGGCAAAAACCGGGATCAGTTATTCGTTGGACAAAAATGCGGTATGGCGTTTGGCTTCGACGCTGAAACAGGAACAATTATCTGGTCTAATCAAGTTGCACCTGGTGCCCATGGCGGTGGAATTAAATTTGGCTCTGCGGCTGATGACCGGTATCTCTATGTTGGCAATAACAATGCTGATAGATTAAACTACACATTACCAAATGGAACTATAACAACGAAGGCAAGTTGGTCTGCCTTAGATCTAGTTACTGGTGATATTAAGTGGACTACAGTTGATCCTACAACAAATATATCGCAAACAAGCGCTGACCTTGCATTAACCGTTTGGGATCAACTTGTTCTAGTTCAAGGTGGAATTTATCCAGGAACTAGAGACATTTCAATCAAAGGATGTCTCTATGGACTGAACAATACGAATGGTGAAGTTTTGTACGAATGGTGTATTGAAAATACGCCAATTGGTAGCGGTGCATCTGTTGCAAAGGATACTATATGTGACAATTGGATATGCAATTCCAAGAGCAGCAACAGATGGTGTAGTGGCATTACAATTACCTTTGATACCTTGAGATCAAAGTTGCACCTCTTCTGCTTTTTTGTAAGTGCTACACTATGTGTATTTTTAACCAATATTTTTCACCTCAAAAATCTTTTTTTTTGTCGTAATTATGAAAAGAAATTCTTTCTCACCTTTATGAAAATATTCCTTATTACCTACTGGTTACAAAACTGCCAATGCCTAGTGCACCTAAAAACGGTGAGTTTATATTGGAAAAAAGATTCAAAGCATCATACGACGATCGTTTCGACTATTGCTTAGATAGTCATCATTAGGTATGTTAGGAATTATTGTTTGGTTAGAAGTAGTTTTTTTTATGTTTGGGAGCATATGACATAATATTTGGATGGGGTTCATGTAAGATTTAAGAGCCATTGCATGTAAGCCATGACCTAATGTAGGTAAAGCTGCTAGACGGGTCACGTCAGATTTTGTTCATTTTTATATATGTGATAGGGGCAAGTGTTTCATGATGTTTGACGCAAACCGCATAAAAAAATAACATCGTTGATTTTTTATCGCAATTTTTCTAAACGGCCTAAAAATTGATGAATATCAAAATGCCTCCTTCTCAAGGCTATATCTCGAGTATAGCTCGACGGATCGAGCTATTCAGTACAACTAATTCTACTACCCAAAAAACTTTTTGGTCGGTTAATGGCTTCCTTAGTTTTTCTGGGAGCCCGACCCAGAGGCAAAAACAACACTTTTCGCTCATATTGATCACTGTCTACCGACCGTTTAGATGATGGTGAAACTCCGAATTTTTGCCCATGAGAAGACCGCAGTATTATCTTATTTCAGTGAAGATTTCAGCGCTTTCGGTCGAATAGTTCTCTAGAAACACCCTCCTCAATTTTGAGGTTTTGGGTCAATTAGCGATTTTGGCCAGTGTGTGTCTCGAAAACTACCTGATGACCAATGGAGCGACAAGGTGGCCCTGACAGGCCCATCTTCCCTCTACATTTTGACGCAAAAACAAGCCTGGGATTTCAACAGGAACCGTAGGAAGGAAACAACGAAGCGGAGTGTTTAAGAGGGAAAATTAGTTGTCCTATAGACGAAACAGTTGAAACCGATTCGTTATATGTGTTAAATGTCAGTTATGCTCATGTACGTTGAATTTGTCTACCCGGCGATGATGATGGAAAGATTGATAATAAAAATTGTGGACAACAATGTCGAATTAATTTTATGAATGTATCTCGAAATACTGTACCAGTTAAAGTGTTTATGTAAAAGCTTATCGTGAATGCTATATATGAGATCAATCGTGCGATACCATATATAAAAAATTAGATGGTAATCTGTTCGTAAGATTTCCTGTTAGCGAACGTGATAGTTGAGTACATGAGATATATAGGTGTTGGTAAATTGACTAAAATATTAACCGTCACTTGAATTGTCAACATTTTCAATAAAT